TATTTCATTATATTTACTGTACCGTTTATATGTTCATCTTTTGCGTACTGTACAATATAACAGAATTCACATTGAGAAACGTGGCATGTGTACTAAACAGAAGTTTAGACAATCCAACAGCATAAGTTATTACCAAAGTGAGTTATTACAGAATTTTGATTTACTTCACTTTTATTGAAAGCTTTCAAAACTCTATTCATTCTTATGTTGATACATAATTTAAATAGTTATCTGTTTATCGTATCAAACTGTAAAGGTGAACTATGTTGATTTCAATCTCATTAGAAGTATCAGTTTCATTTTCGATTATAGATATGGATTGTTGTCCCAAATGGTAAATACCATGAAAACTAGATTCATCAATGATTCTTTTTGATTATGTCCAACTATCTAATATCTCTTTGCCTTAATATAACTCTTATTGAACTAATGTGTAAATAAAATAATTCGTTGATTCTTTCATTAGATAGTATCTAGTCTATCAACTGTTGCTCTTCAAGTTTTCAGTTAAATTATATTGTGAAAGAAATTTAAAAATACAAAATATTCATTTAAGTTATAGGTGTGATATATGCTACTGATGTCGACAGATATAAGTAGTATGTATTATTAATCGAAAGTGAAATGCTTGATGGCAGATGGTTAAGAAGATTGTTCACTACACAGGCTCATTATACAAGAACATTTTTATTTATTGATTGATGGAATTTATGATTTAATTAAAGCTAGATCATCATAAAAAACCTGAAAGTACTAGACGACCGTTTCGTCTTAGTATGGGACTTCTTAACAGTGTGCATCTACAATCTTTTACCGCGGGACCTATCGGTCTCACGCACTAACGCTTAACGTCTAAACCACTGATCCGGTCAGTATCTAACGGTGTTAATGTGTAACTTCAACCAATCCACTTTTATTTATATTGATTTTATAAGTTGAACAAGAAGTTAAACTATCCATTATCTACGAAGATCTATATGTTCGTTATCTATTCCGATATCTATGAATATTACTCATCAACAAAACATTATCTCTTCAATTTCAGAACAATTGGATGCCGGCTCAATGGTCTAGTTGGTTAAGCGCCGGGTGCGAGACTGATAGGTCCTGGGTTAGAATCTCGCGGGGTCGTGGATGCGCACTGCTGAGTTCCATACTAGGACGGAATGGCCGTCCAGTGCTTCCAGGTTTCCCATGGTGGTCTAGCTTCAATTGACTCATGATTTCAATCTGTGAGATTCATCTAATAGTTGAATGTCATTAACAATAGAATAACATGAATAAGGAACATGAAATTCAGTGCATTGACATCATAATATGAGAGCATGTAAACAATGAATAATACTGGTAACGTAATAATAAAGTATAAGGACTATTCAAGGAAAAGAATTTCCTTTTCGATGATAACATTTCCTGAAATTGTTTAATTTGTTATGTCAGAAAAAAGGCAGATTTCTTAAGTTATATTGAGTCTGTAATGACAAGAAAGCAGTTGAATATTCTCTAATTCTGTAGTTCGATTATCCACTAATCCCAAAGGATTGATTTCCTATTTACCAATTAACACGCAGACCAATGAACAACGAGTAATATCTTAACAATTATTGGTCTTCGAACTACTTCCAACCCAATGGTCAATGAAAAGACGTTGATAACAAGCAGATCAGCTCTCTGCTGTACTCAATTCAATCATGACTCAGGGTTTATACAATAATATGCCTGAAATGCCTAACCACATAGCAATACATTTGAAGAATTACAATACGTGCATAACTTAGACATAAGTGATACGAAATCATAGTAATGGGGAAATTGTTACTAAATGATAATTTTTTAACAATAAGACATGTGAAGATGATTTACAGGTCTAATTAAAGCTTAGAAATAGAAGAACAAGCGAGACTGTAATTTATGGACGATCTTTGAGTGACACTAGACTGACTTTGAGAATGTCTGCCTACTAAATATGTCTGAATGAGTGATAAAGCATTTGAGGTATTCCAATGATGATTTACAGTTGATGATTAGGGTTACGAACTAGATTTAGCATTTTCATCACGAACTGACATAAGTTAAAATCCAAAAACGCTATTTAGCTAAGTGGATGAATGAATTTCGCACCAAAATCCAGGACCTATTATCTTTTATCAGATTAATTCATTCATAAATTATAGTATCGTTGAAGAATATAAAAATTTGATAATGCAAGCTTCTGTTAATTACTCAATGAACATGCAAAAAATATAATCCTTCGTGTAATAGACCCCCACAACACTCGTCCAGTTACATCATAAACGATGATATAGTGATTTAACAAACATACTGACTGATAGGTCCTGGGTTCGAATCCCACAAGGTGGGGTCGTGGATGCGCACTGCTGAGTCCCACAATAGGACGAAACGGCCGTCCAGTGCTTCCAGGTTTTCCATGGTGATCTAGCTTCAACTGACTCATGATCTCAACTGTTTACATTGAAAATCTATTGAAAAGCAGAAAAAGATTTTATCATAGAGGTTATGTACAGCTTTTTTAGTTATCATAAGTTCTTTAATGCTACAGAAGTTGAATAAAAATAGTAACATGAAAGTAATTTGCCAATCAAAAGTATGAGAATTGAACAATGCAATCAAGGGTCATTGACACATGTGCCTAGATGGCTTCAAAATCAATGTGTGTCAAATGATCCGATCAATGTAGGAGGTAGAAAACCAAGTTCATCGATAGCGAAACATACAATTGAGAAGGGGTACAAAATTGACATTAATACAACATTTAGAACGTTGTATAGAAATTGTCAAGGACCAATTCTTAAGTTTATTGAAGCCTTGGCTATTCGTAAATTTAAAAGCTCCTTATATGTACAAAAACAATTTGTCGTAACCTTGAATTTACCCTGGTAATCCCCCTCTGTTACCTTTTTTTACATGAACTTTCATTTAATTGACCTTTATTAATTTTCATATAAAATGCCCTGACAAGTATATGCGTGACTAGATTGTTCGAAATGTATAACGCAAATACATCACCAATTTTCAGATCAACTTCATCTTTTCATTGTTCTATCGAAATTTATAAAATGAACTAATTGCTATAGAATTTTCTAAACTGAATTAACGTTTCTTCGGTGACATACTGGATTACCTTAATCACTTCAAAGATTAAATTACTTAGTTAAATAGAATATAACGTCAGATCTAGTACTTACATATTTTGATCCCTCACCGGAAACTGTTGTTGCTGCAGATGTTTCTGATTATGGTATCGGTGTTGTTATATTCCATAGGCTTCCGGATGGCAAAGAGAAAGCTATTGCACATGCTTCCAGAACGTTGACTTCGGCAGAACGCAAATATAGTCAAGTTGAAAAAGAAGGATTGGCACTAATTTTCTCAGTTAAAATGTTTCACAGAATGCTGAATGATAAAATATTTAACCTCTATACCACTGAATCGAAATCCAGAGGTGACATATTTAACCTCATTCAATCTACGATAATGCTCAACAAACCTCCATAGTCCCCCAACACTCGACACCGTCGTGTAGAGGTCAAGCGTTCGCGTGTCAAACCGAAGGTCCTGGGCTCAGTTCTTGTGTGCGAGGTGATTAAAGCACACAGCAGAAGAATCTCATACTAGGACAGAACAGCCATCTAATATCTCCAGGTTTCTAATAGTGGTCTAACTTAGATCGATTCGTGCCTGACATTATTACCATTTAGCTGTAGATTAATGTCTATATGATATAAATTAACTGACCGGTGGAAAGAAGTGGACCCTTTTATTGCTATTTCGACGGTTGTTTCTTAATTATTACTAAGGTTTTTCTTACTATAAACGTTTCAATGATGAAATATAATGGACTAAATTTCAATCCCGTTTTTTGATCTTAAAATTATATACTACTTACAAGTAGTTACTATTTCATCTTTAAAATGTCTGATATGATTAGCGATAATGGTGGGAATTTAAATGCGTTAACGGGTAAAGCTTAGAAAATGGTCATATGAAATATGAGTATTATGAACCAATACAATCGACATTCCATGAATAGAATGTATGAAATCGGGTTGCACTACCGTTAATGGTTAGAATCAATTACAGAATTTAAAATCACCAATTGACATTTTCAATAATTACAATTTTAAAGGCAACTACAGTCTGAAATTCAACACTCATATAACTATATTGTATTCTGTTGAACTTACTGAAGGCGATACAAAATTGAACGTTTGTATTGTGTTAATAAATCACCCGACCGTTGTTGCTACCTTGACGTGGTGGTCGGGCTTGCCTATCGTGATGAAGCAATCGAGCTATACTGGCTGGAACAATCGCTCCTCAAGGTACTACTATGCCAGACAGGTCGGTTGAAGAACGGTAAGACTAGGAGAAGCAAACCCAGGATCCGAAGGCGAAGTCGTACTGTCGACTGTACAGCGGTGTGACAGCAGTAAGGTGTTTCCTCCAGACAACCAGCATAACAGAGATGCTGCCTTCCCACATAGAGGGGTGGGATTAGAAAAGGTCGACCCTAAAGATGCACACCTCGTGTTATCCCACGGATAACCGTCTTCGACGGTAAGGTCTCAACAAGTACGGAGCTAACATTAAAACTGCTTACAAAAAGGTCATGTGTGACCGACCTCAATCAGTTGTCCGTTGGGCACTGCGGTCACGCTGTCAGGTCACTAAGACCACCTGTAATCCAATTTCGTTTTCAAGTACCTCCAGAAGAACCCTTTTTAGGTGTGGGCAACCGGGTATTGATAACCGCCCTCATATTTGTAACAGCACTCAAGACCACTGAATAATAGATGATCTGTTGAAACTATGTTCACTCATAGATTTAATTAATTTTCTAAAGTTAAAATGACTAAAATTTATAAAGACACTGATGAGTCCTACATAGGACAAAACATTCAGCATACATTCTCTTACTCATCACAAATCTATTTATTCTATCAAAACAATTGAATTAGGTTTTTAAAAAAAAAGAAAAATACAATAAAAAATAGATTTATATTTCAGTAGTTGGTCCTTTTTATACAAAATAATAAAATAAACTCTTTTTATTCAAATGATGAATATCTAAAGGGTTAGTGTTTTCTTTTAACTGAATAGTTTATTAATAGTAGATCATTGTGCTCAACTGTTTAACATTTAACAAAAATTACTGGTTATCAAGATTAGTTTCAATTTCAGTTTGGAAAAGACAGAAGGTTTTGATGACCTGATCATGATAGTCTTTCAGTTGATCCAACTTTCTTTTGAAAGAGTGTCCATGGATCTAGCTTCAATCATGTGTTGAGTTAATGAATTCCACTCGCTGATTCAAATGTATATGTATATTATTAAAGATCAATTATATTAGAAATATAAATTATATGATTGAACTAAAATACATTGATCGTTTATTATTTTTTCATTCAGTAATTGACTACAAATCTGAATTACATATAAATTTAAAACACCGAGGGGGGGGGGGGAATAAGGGGAAAGAGGGAGAGTGGGAAGGACAGAGAGAGAGGGGGGGGAGGGAGTGAGTGAGTAAGGCAAAGGAAACAAATATGTATCATTACAATATGATAATTACAATAATAATAATGATAATAATAATCAACAATATGAAGAACTTGAAAAACATACATAATTTTGTGAATTATTATTATCCCAATATTCAAAATTATTACCTCTATATACTACAGCAAATTCTAATTGATAAAATTTAGTTTCTAATGGAATTATTGATAAAATAATTTCAGATTCATTTGTTTCTATCCATTGATATGTATTAGTGTTAGTTACTAAGTGACTTGATTGATCAATACGTATTAATGATGGAGATTCTGTGTAAGTTCTCCAATTATCTAATGTATAACGTAATTTTACTTCTTTTGTTATATCTGAATAATTTGATTGTGTATCATTTACTGTTTTTACTTGTACATTAAATGAATACAAATTTTGTGAATAAAATTGTGATAGACATACTTTTTGTTCTAGAAGACGTTGATTAAAATTAGCACATTGGATAGGATTTGGAAATGTTGGTTCCCATTTCTTGAAGAAAAAAAAGAAGAAAAAAACAAGTTTAATAGAATCAGAAAATAGTTTTTGTAGATATTATAGTCATTTTAAGAATTGAGTTTATGAGTTCATGAAAGTTATTTTATTTATTTATTTATTTATTTGAACACATACATATTGGTACAAGAGTACGCCAAATATATATGCGATACACAAAACAATGAGAATGCGAAGAGAAATAGAAAAAAAAAGCTAAGGAGCGCAAAGAAAAAGAGAACACTAGCGAAGAGATTGGTGTAAGGTAGTGTGGTAGTAATGAGGGAACGGAAAGGTACAATCAGAAGAAATCTTTCAGTTAAGGGAGACACAACCACTTTTTATGAAGAAAGTAAAAGAAGGTTACAGCATGATCGCCACTGGCTTCTATTCTGAGCCATATCTGATAACATCTCTAGCCACTGTGTAGCACCATCTTTCGGACCCCAACCAGGGAGTCGTGAAGGACCAACACAAGCCAGTCCTTTACAGCTTTCTTTCATGCCACGACACCATGTCATGCACTGACCACCTCTCCGCTTCTTCCAACCAGTCCCAGAGTCGGCAAATAATGCACGACGTGGAATTCTCTGGGACGACATTCGGAGAACATGTCCAAGCCACCGAAGTCGGTGTTTCAAGATGGTGACACCAATTGAGTTATCATCTCTGTGCCCGAACACACGATGCCGAACCTCTGCATTACTGACATGGTGTTGCCACTGAATGTCAGCAATCCTTCGGAGACAGCGATGATCGAACACAAAGAGTTGTTTAACGTCCTCAACTCGGAGAGACCAAGTTTCACAAACATAGAGCAAAACTGCTCCCACCGACGCATTATAGGGCCGACCTTTTACGGCCAGACTGACATCACGAAGGCGCCAAAAATGGCCCAGATTGGCATAAGCCGCTCTGGCTTTCACTATACGTGCATTAATCTCATCACTCACACCCCCACCAGCACTTATGCAGCTACCCAGATACACGAACTTCTCGACCATTTCTATCTGCTCACCATCCAGTGTAAGTACAGGATTAGGATCCTGTCAGTCTTGTAGAAGTACTTTGCATTTCGAAGATGCAAAGCACATACCATACCTACGGACACTGATTACCAACTGATTAAGTGCGGATTGCATGGCTTGAGCATTATCGCACAGTAAGACAATATCGTCCGCATACTCAAGTTGGAGAAGTCTTTCTCCAGTCAACAGATCCACACCGCCATTACTTACATTCATCAGAGCTGTTTCCAGAATGTCATCGATGGCAAAGTTGAAGAGGAATGGTGAGATTGGGCAACCCTGCCTAACCCCACTGCTCGAATAGAACAATGGAGAAAGGTGGTTGTATGCCCTAACTCTGCCTGAGGTGTTTGTATATAAGGCTTTCAGGATGTTAATAAACTTCTCAGGCACACCCTTCTTCAATAGACAATCCCAGAGAACAGTCCTATCCAACGAATCGAAGGCAGCCCTGATGTCAAGAAACACTACGATTGTTGGCCTTTGATAAGTATGGCGGTGTTCTAACATTTGGCGGAGGGTGATGATATGATCAATACATCCTCGACCAGAACGAGACCCAGCCTGCTCCTCGCGAGTCAATCTTTCTCGGGTTTTGAACAACCTACGAAGAATGACGGAAGCCAATAGCTTGGACGCAATCGGAAGTAGACTTATCCCCCGATAGTTGTTACAGGAACGACGTGAACCCATTTTATAGATAGGGACAACTATCGACTCATTCCATGACGTTGGTACACTCTCTAGTTCCCAAACCTTTGTAAACAACGTCGTCAATTCCTTAGTCAAAAAGTCACCACCATCTTTAAAAAGAGCCGGAGGTAAGTCATCTGGGCCAGGTGATTTGTAACGCTTCAAGAGTTGGAGTTCCTTGCGGACTTCCGCCCCATTTGGTGGATCATTCGTCACCGGCCATGGAGGGCAGGACAGTCTGACCGATGTTGCCGGAGCAGCAGGCCAGTTGAACTGCCCTTCGAAAAATTCTACCCATCGTCCAAGACGTCGATGGATGTTAGTGATTGGCATCCCGTCATCCTCACAGATTGTTTCGCTCACACCAGACTTCTTGCTGTCAGTGGCTCGGATGAGCTGGAAGAGCTTCCGGTAGTTACCAGATGCAGCTGCTGCTTCCAGCTCATTACCACGCTCCGACCACCAGGCTTCTCGGTCCTTACGCAAGCGTTGCTCAATTTCACTACGTAACAACCTTCGTTTGTGGTCAAACTGACGGTCATCCGGAGTAGACCGACGGGCTTCAATGAGTTGTAAGGAGCCTGAAGAAACCCAGTGCTTATAAGCGGGACGTTTCGCAAACCCACATCTGACTGTACCCGCCATTTTCATGGCGTCATGCAATTGCAACCAATCCTCATCTATACTTTGCGGTGGAATGGTAGCTAGCTTAGAAGCTAGCTCGGTTCGATACTTACTAGCAACAGAAGTTGCAACCAGCTTGCTAACGTCAATCCGTTGGTGGCGGTCACTTCGTTGGCCACTGAAAAGTAAGGTAAGATTGGCGCAGACCAAGGTATGGTTAGAGTCCAGATAGGTACTCCAAAAGGAGAGGCAGTCTTGTACACAACCACGCCAGCGGTAGCTGATCGCGATGTGATCAATCTGAGTCCAGGCTTAGGATGCAGGGAGAGGGAACATCGGTGACGGCTGTACCGGTAGTTAGTGCTAGCCAGAAATAGGCTGTGATCTGTGCACAGTTGCTGTAGACGGTCCCCGTGAATAAATGGCGTAGTAAATATTAATATTGATATTAATATTAATAATAACAACAACAATAGCGATAGTAATAATAATAATAATTTGAATCATTTGATTGTTAGCTGAAGCAAGAAAAGTAGTTTCCATAAATTTAGGCAGTTCATCATTTGTGTGTGGGCTGTGATACTCCCCGGGTGCCCAGACCGAATCAGGTGGTTATCTTAGGGGGCCACACCCGGAGCCTTTGACTCAAAGGTCTGATCCACAAGGCAGTGGAGCATCGTAAGGAGATGCATTCCCATGGAACCCGGTGACCAACGATTGGTTCATACGCCATTTGTTCCTTCCGGATACTGGAGCCCATTTGAACCATTGGTTTGGGATCCGGTTAAAGCGCCGGACGTTCGCTTTTCGTCCTCTCATTTTCGTAAACAACACCCCCGCCACGAGAAGGCAGTGAGTAGGACTTACCTGAACTCCGCCTGGAGTCCCTCCGGGGGCTACTGCCGATCCCAAGCCCGGATAAAGGAGGAGGGTTGGGCATGGGGTTAGCGTCCCCATCCCGTAGAAAACTAACTCGCTAAAAAAACGCTAACCAGAAAAAATTATTCAAACCTTTTAAACTCTGCCCTGGGAGTCAGAAGATCTTCACTTAGAAGAATTATGACGCCTCATGATGAAAGCCGAATCCCTTCGGAAGTTACGAGGCCGATGCCCCTTCTGACAACCAGAGCGACCATTCATTTAGGTACATGGAATGTTCGTACAATGTGGGACACCGGAAGAGCCTTCCAGATTGCTGCAGAAATGAGAAGATACAACTTAGAGGTACTTGGGATCAGTGAAACACATTGGACACAAGTTGGACAACAACGACTAACTACAGGAGAGCTCCTGTTATATTCCGGCCATGAAGAAGAAAATGCACCACATACACAAGGAGTTGCATTGATGCTGTCCAAACAAGCGCAAAATGCGCTTATAGGATGGGAATCTCATGGACCAAGGATCATCAAAGCCTCCTTCAAAACAAAGAAAGAGGGCATTTCAATGAACATCATCCAATGCTATGCGCCTACCAACGACTACAATGAAGACGCTAAAGACCAATTCTACAATAGGCTGCAGTCAATAGTCGAGAAGTGCCCAACAAAGGACCTGACCATTCTGATGGGAGATTTCAAAGCCAAGGTTGGAACGGACAACACTGGATATGAAGACATCATGGGACGACACGGACTGGGAGAAAGAAACGAAAATGGTGAGAGATTTGCAAACCTATGTGCCTTCAATAAGCTGGTCATAGGCGGCACCATATTCCCACATAAACGCATACACAAAACCACATGGACTTCACCGGATCACTCTACACAAAACCAAATCGACCATATTTGCATCAACAAAACGTTCAGGAGGACGGTGGAGGACGTGAGAACCAAGAGAGGAGCTGATATAGCATCAGATCATCACTTACTGGTCGCCAAGATGAAATTGAAACTCAAGAAGCACTGGACAACGGGGCAGACAGTATCACAAAAGTTCAATACGGCCTTTCTCCAGGATACTAACAAACTCAACAAATTCAAGATAGACCTTAGCAACAAGTTCCAGGCCTTTCATGATCTACCCAATGGAGAAGGAACTACTGTGGAGAGCAACTGGAAGGGGATCAAAGAGGCAATCACTTCAACATGTCATGAGGTCCTGGGTCACAAGAAGCACCACCACAAGGAATGGATCACTGTTGGTACACTGGATAAGATTCTAGAAAGGAGGAACAAGGAGGCAGCGATCAATACCAGCCGAACAAGAGCAGAAAAAGCCAAGGCACAAGCTGAATACACGGAAATAAACAAACAAGTGAAGAGGAGCATCAGAACCGACAAACGTAAATATGTGGAAGATTTAGCAACGACGGCGGAAAAGGCTGCAAGAGAAGGAAACATGAGACAATTGTATGACACGACAAAGAAACTCTCTGGAAATCGCCGCAAACCAGAACGACCAGTGAAAAGCAAGGAAGGCAAGATAATCACCAACATTGAAGAGCAACAAAACAGGTGGGTAGAACACTTCAAAGAACTGTTGAATCGATCAGCTCCACTGAACCCACCCAACATCGAAGCAGCACCCACGGACCTCCCAATCAATGTTGGCCCACCAACAATTGAAGAAATCAGCATGGCCATCAGACAAATCAAGAATGGCAAAGCAGCAGGACCGGACAACATCCCAGCAGAGGCACTAAAAGCAGAC